GCTCTTCCGCACTGGTCCGTGAACTCGCTTACTATTCCGGCGACCTCTCAATCCCACCCTTCTCTTGATCGCTCCATATGGTCTCTAAGATTCAAAGGGTTTCCGATTGGGGAGTTGCAGAAATGAAGAGCTGATCTCTCGTGACCTCGTCGCCTTTACCTCTCTTTTCACCACTAGCGAAGCCACAGATGCAGAGAGAGAGAGGACGAAGTGGAGACGGACAATGGATATACAATTATCTGAAGAAAGCGAAGTACGGAGAATTACGACTCCGCCACTACGACCAAATCAGCACACGTTTGTGCAGATTTTGGCACCTCTTATCTGGCTTCTCCCTTCAAAAAAATCTGGCCTGCATCGTTCATTCCGATCACAGAGCTCTTTGCGTCTCGGACTGATCGGACGGTGGAAGAAGGGCGTGGAAGAGTAAAAATAATCGCTCAAATTTTATTTCGGGAAAAAAATTAGTCCGTCGCTTAAAATTGGTTTGAATAAACAGAAGAATAGCTTGTTAAAATAGCTTATTATTTATTTAAATTTTAGAATTTCTAAAAATATAAAAATAATCTCGATCATTTAAATTTGAGTTGAAATAGTTCTCATAAAAAATTATTAGATTATAATTTTAAGATAATTGGGAGATTATTTTGTTACTTCAATAAATTATGGGACTAAAACAGTTTCTCGTATAAATAAATGTGAACTAATTTGGCACTTTATTCAATAAAAAAGTGACTCAATTTTATTTCTATCTTCTCTCGCAGTGATTTTGCTCGAATGATTCGCATATTTTAAAAATATTATTTGTGGTGGCAATCCCTACTTTAATTTTTTTATTCGGAATTAGGGTTGTTTAATATTTATTGTTCAAATTAGAATGCATTCATCACATCATTTAATACTAACAATTTATGTAAGGAGAAAATAAAGAAATGGCAAGATCAGAAGCTTCTTAAAAAAAATTTTGAGTCAGAACAACAGGTATTATTGTACAATTCTCGATTGAAATTATTTCATGAAAAATTAAGTTCTGACAGTTTGACTCATTTATTGTAATGAAGGTTTACCCTTTTAATGTGATGATATTGAAGACAAGAACTTTGTTAAGAGTCTTTAAGGTAAATGACCAGAAATTGAAATTATATCTAGAGGAAGATAGGGTTGTCTTTAGAGAGACTATGATTTTGGATCATCTCAAGCAATAAATCATGCGATGTCAAGTTAAGGACGTTGAATCAAACACTTTTTGAGATACGACTCAAATATTTTGATGTAATTAATTTGATTTTTAAAATTGGTGTCAATTTCTCTTCTCGACTTTAACTGATCAATGATTTTTATAACTTAAATTAGAAGCTTTGTATTCATAGAAATAAAAACTAGAACAAGGTGATTAAATTGAATAGATAAGTTGTTTTTTTGGTTGATATCAATTTTATGTTAGTTAAGCTTCATATGAGTACCTTAGGATGAATAAATATATTTGAATTAGTATTTGTGAGGTTAGGATATTATGGACAAACTCTGAAAGTTCAATATGAAGGAATTACATGTTTATCTTTACTTATTACCAATTAGGATGAACTAAATCTATAGTCACTATCTACCATTGCATTTTGTAATATTTTAATTTTAAATTTTGAAATTATTTGACGATGAAATATTTAAGCTCTAGGGATTTTGACTTGTGTGGGAAATTTATTAATTTATGTTTTATTTTAATCATTTTTATGTTAATTTAACACGTTTGGAAGGTATTTGTGATGTGTTTTGTAAGATTCGGGATTGAAGAGTCATCAAAGCAGAAGAATTAAATGAAAATATTGAGTGATAAACTGATGCCTAGGCATTGGAGCCATGCGCCTGGGCGCTGAGAAGCTCTGGCTTCATCCAAAATATAGAGAAGGTGAGAAGTAGGTGTTGCATCCTTAATGACTGAGAGTTGTAGACTTAGCACCCATGCATTGTATTCGAGTGCCTAGGTGCCCTGTGTTTATAAATCCAACCCAAGAAGGCAGAAAATATATGTCGCAACTCTAGTGTCTAGGTGCCAGAAACTAGCGACTAGACGCCACAAACCAGCACCTAGGCTTCAGTTAACACAAATTGGTGGTTTTGGCAATTCACATGTGTCATTCGCAATGGAGGCTCTAACTGATTTTTTTCAGCCGAATGGTAAAAGGTCGTTGGCCTATTTTATATGCAGAAGGAGATGGAGAAAAGGCATGGGAAAAGATTTAACAAGAGAGTGGTGAGGGGAGAGTATTTATGTAAATTTAGTGTGTGTAATTGTGCGTGTGCAATCATCAAATGGTTGGAGAATGTCTAAGATAAGTCTGCGGAGTTCTTTGTTTATTCATAATTTTATTTATCCATCAAAATTTTGTATTTTGAGAGTTTCATTTTAATGAAATTGCGACGTTATTGTTTACAAGCACGTGTAGTGCGTATAAATTTTATTCTATTTTAAATTACCATGCATGAATGTTAGGTGTGTGTAATTCTCATTATGATTCATATACGGTGTTAAGTTAACCTTTAAATCTTAAATTAAATTCATCCTGCTTAGTTGAATTGTTAAACATTATCATGAACTTTGAGATTTGAGAGAATTTTTATTGGAATGATTAGATTAACTACATTAATTTAGTTAAACTTTTTGTTAGTCGATCTTTCTTAGATGCCCAGGAGGGAATAAGGAAGAGTGTTGCTCCTGATTGACACCTATCATTTTGATCACTCATTTAAACCAAAATACTTATAGAACCAATTCAAAAGAGACTTTACTTGTACCATAAAGCTCTTGAAACCCTCACCTCGTTAGCATAGTTTTTAATATTTTGAAAATTATGATCAGTCGCTTTTACAAAAATATGAAACTTCATACTTTCAGGCTAGATACAAAATTAGTAGGTTAGAAGTTTTTCAATTTAGATATTCGCTTGATCCTTGCGGAACCGATACACAGACCTTTTTCTGTACATCACATCTACTCATGTGATTCATAAGTTCTTTATAGTTTTTGGGCCGTATCAACTATCAAATTCTAGATTAACATTCCATTATTGAGTTGCACAATAATAATCAACATAATGATTAATACTTCATAATCAACATAATGTAGAATAATAATCAACATCATTTGATATGTCAAATTCAGGCCAGTAGATATCAGTTGTTGGTTTAAGTCATGGCTTTGAATTGTTAAGTTGTGATAGTTCAACATGAAATCTATTTCTACCATGTGAGCCATTAATGTCATTATTTTCATCATTATATTGACTATCAATTATTTCATATTCATCGACAGGGTTAAGAGAACCTACTCAAATTTCATTATTATAAAAAATGGTTTGTTGATTTATTAGATTAGTTTGTCTTGAGGCTTAGAGTAACTCGCCCATCGGATTGGTAGTACCTACCTTAGTAATAGCTGTATAGTTATGCCATAAACTACTATACAAGTAAAATTAGATATATATAATGCTAACTTGGACATAATGCGTTTCTCTGAGTTTGCAACATGAGATTTTTCATTTGATCATAGCTTTTCAAATTACATGTTGACTCATATTGTATCAATTGAGGGTTCATCAAGAATAATTAGTTGACTTTAATGTATCAAATCACAAGCTTATTAATTGTTAAATTTAACACAATTCGATTGATTTCATAATTGTTATTATGCACAATGATAAATCCAACATTCAAAGGAAAACATAAAACAAAATTTATTGAGAATTTTAGTTAGTTATACTTTTAATAAAGCAAAATGTTATTTTCTAAACCTTTTAGTGTTCACACACAAAACTTGCAGTTGACAGTTTTTACCTCAAACATATTTTGGAATGAACTGGTGGAGATAATCAATCAAAGATTGTCTCCAGTCGTTGACTTGTTCATCTTCTGCCCTGGCAACCCACGCCTTGACTTCTAGTTGATTGATATATTTCATATCTATATGGGACAAAACCTACACTAATATGGAAATGAAGTCGTTCTTAGGATAAGCAAGCACCTTCACGAGTTTGATCAGAGTAACCGCCACGACATTGCTATAATATAGAATATGGTACAAAGTTACAATTGAAACCAGCTCGAGAAGTTTCATGGTAATTTGATGATATGAAATTTTAGGTTTAAGGACTATATAGATCCCAACAATTTGTTTGATAGCCAGTTGGGAGTCATCATAGATCTTGACTTTCTTAATATCCTTGAAATTTTCAGCTTTAAACCTATAATAAGAGCTTCATACTCGACTTCATTATATATATAACGCTCTAAAAGGTGATAAGAAAAGTGCATCATTCCCTTTTCAGGGGTGATGAATATAAACCCAATATCTGCCTTATCGAGGATCAAAGATTGAGAACCCACGATTTTATGAGAAGACATTACATTGTAAAAAATACAGCTCCGAAAAAACCCGGCTCGACCCTCCAAACTCATGACTTATTCATCGGGAAGGTTATCATTTATTGGTGAGTCAGTGTGAAGTGTGTGTGATGCTAAGAGTTGGTGAGCTTGACCTTCCATGGCATGCAAAAGGGACGTACATTATATCAAACTATAACAATATCATCAACCAATGAGTTGGTCACCTGGTGAGCGTTGGTTTAGTCATTAAATACAGTAAATGGTTGACTTTAGAAATCAATTTCAAATGATGTGAATGCATGTAATACCTTAACTTGTACGCTATAAAGACTATATCCAAACAGTACTTTTTGATAGATGGCTATTTAATTTATATCAGGATAAGACGATGGCTTAGGTAATATAACATAATTTCTTTGACATTTTCATTAACTTGAGCGAGCAGGGCTCTGATGGACTCATCTAGGGTAGCATTATATAAAATCAATGGTTTATCAAGAATAAGAGCAACTTTGACCTCTCTTTAATGTATAACATTAGAACAAGAGTTTTATTTGCGGTGCTTAACCATCTTTTTTGCTTTACTGGGATTTGTTACCGAC